TTTTAATACTACTAATTTTTTCGATTTATAACTGTCTGAGTTACATATGTCATAATGTATTTTACTTGACTCTATTCAATTCCAAACGATAGAGTATAGTTAAAAGTTCATATTATGTATAATTTGAGCATTTATGATACATGTGTATGATAAGGTTCCAAGTAAGAAGTCAATGATTAGAAAATATTTATTAAATGAACAACATAAATACATTGTTTTAGAAAGATAATTAATATAATAGTTTTATATTTGTAAATATATCTGAGTTCTTTTTGTCCGTTAATCCATATAGTGAATGCAAATTCTTATTATGTTTCTAGATTATAATAATGTAGAATAATTATTTTAGTAATATTAAGTAGCTTACTCGTTCCTTAACAAAAACAAACTGTTAATTTATACATACGAGTAATAAACACGTCGAAATAAATTTAGTTACAGACAGCATAGGATGTGTAATGTAAGTAAAAATTGTAATAATGATCTGAGAAAGCAATGGACTGAAATAATTTGAGTTCCTGATTCAAAAATGTTTCGAAGTTTAACTTATTTTTATTTCAATAATAATTTAAAGTGTTGTATACAATTTCATATTATAGCATTTACATGAATAGTAATACTACCTATGAGTATTAGTAGTATTTACAAGTAACTTAATAACTGATTGTCAGCATTTAAGCTTTTAACTGTCTGCGAACAAATTAGAAACACATAAGCCACAGTATTTAAACAAATAATATTTGTCACATTTTTAATATTTGTTTTACAGTGAAATATCGAAATTTTAAGATATAACTTTATATGAAAATACTCAACAAAAGTTTTTATTTTTTTTTTGTTATTTAAATAAGGGATTACATTATTATCATTATTTATTATTTAATTATTGATTTTATAAAATAATAGTAAATTTATTTTATATTAATGCACCTAACTGTTGTAAATTATAATCAAATAATATTAAAAAGTTATCTATATATGTATATAATATCATCTAGTAGCGTTGTCAAGGGTAGAGTGGCTGAAAGGGCTATAGTTTTCCCTATAAGCTAATTATTAATATTAAGAGTATATAAATTTAGCGATAGTAAAAGTATGTGATAAGCCAAACAAAAACTTTAGCACCCCCCTCCAAGCAAAAATCGTAGCTACATCACTGTCATTTAATGTTAAAATTAAATCTAGCTTAAGTCAATTGAGTTGAAATTTATTTAAGTCTATTTTACGAAAAAATAGAAAATAGGTAAAAAATCATACAACGTTTTTTCGTATAAAATCTGATAATCATTTACGAAGTATAAAAATATTTCTACTACTATATTATAATAATATGTATTAATTAAGAAAATAGTTATAGTAATCAAAAACAATAATGCAGTAAAAAGAGAAGAGGCAATTATTTTTTGCTATAAAACTAGCTCTGACCAAACATTTGAATACATTGTAAATAACAATGCTGCTACTATAAGCAAACATTGTACTAAGTTACAAAATGGTAATTACAACCAAAAAATGGTCCATAGCAATAAATTACGTCCATTACTTCTGCTGTTATAATAGCGTTATTATCATAAAGGTTCTGCTCGCTGCGATGTCACAGTGTTTGTCATATATAATACTTTGAAGATTTTTGTATGATTTCTTTACTTGTATTGTGATGTCCTTTATCATGATTTAACATAATATGTAATAATAATACATTGTTAATAATAAAGTATACTTATTCTATACTTAAGTTGGTATTATGATTTTATTTTCGAAAGACTCTTTATGGCTTCAATTAAGCTTCAATTATTATCTAACTACAATGAAGAGTAATGGCAGTTTTTTTAAAGACAAATTTTAAATGGTAGCTCCGTTTGATTTTTATTACATTAATAAACTCCTTTTGTAAAATTATTAACGTTATAATTTATAAACATTGTGAAAATCAATTTATAATTAAAATTAATGCTTAAAAATACCCATAGCAAAATAAAAGTCACAAATAAAAAAAAAAAATGTTTATTTATAAAGTAAATTTTTAGTCTGTACAATATTTCAAAATATATATTAAGATATTTCTTTTCATGAAAGCATATAAGACATGCATTATGCATTATGGCAATCATTAGTTTTTTGAAGTTAGACTCATCCCCGAATATATAATTTTGAATTAAAAGTGAGTTTTTAATATTTTTTCTTAAGGTACTAATGTACTCTACTTTTACTCATAATAAATGTAATTATATTATATATAATATTTGTATAGATTAAAGTAATTTTAATTAATTTTAAATTGTGTACTCGGGAATTCATATTTATAATAATGTTTTTTAATTAAGTATTTCTTATAAAAACTTAAATTCAACTTCAATAAGAAATACTTTTAGATTAAATTCGAGAACGATAAAATAAAATATTAATTAATTTTTATTTCAATTGGTATTTTTACTCGATTCCTTCTTTACCTAAATATTCAAATAATTAACTTTATTAAAAGTTTTTGGCTAATTCTCGCGAATGTTTGTTCGACTGTAAATAAGTATTTATACATGTATTGAAAAAGTTATGAGTCATTAGTTTATTAAATAAATCATACATATTTTGAAAAGGCGCTTAGTGCAACGTCTAAGCAGGAAGTTTTATCGTTTACCTTTTACAAATAAGTCGGGTTCCATTTATAGTTTAATGAATTATCCTAATAAAATTGATGGTGTATTATTCACCTCAGCCATGTGAAAGTATTGGGAAATGCAGTACAAAGTACAGGTACGGAATAGTGAAACTGCAAATGAGCGATGCGTAGTGGGAGTTTTAGTTTTACCCTTAAACTCTTAAGGCATTACACTGTATTGGAAGTTGAAATTCCGTATTGACTCGGCGGACTCGTGTGTTTTATGGCCGTTGTCGAGACGAAGCGAGCGCAGTTACCGCACAAGATATTGAAATAAAATTTGGTCGGTGCCAAAAGTTTACCGACCAATTTATACACTTGAATGTAAATCACCGACGTTGCACAAAAGGTCAAGTTTCGCCGAAAACAGCAGCGGCTGGCTAATTGTGGTATTTAATAATTTAATAATAACGGGAGTGTGTACTGCTCCTCGTTGGATGTTGTTGTTATTATAAAATAAATACGCGCACGTTGATGTTAAACAATGACCCAAGTTAACGACGATTTCAAACTGTTACATACAATGTCTCCAAAAACAATAGCCAAAAACAATAGTTACACTTGAGATACGCTGCGTCCGCAGACAAGTTTCATACACAATTTTAAGAGATTTCCTAAACAACGAAGGAGTGTGGACGGCACTTACAAGGAAATATTATTGAGCAATAAACGTTTAGTATGTCACTCTTCTAATGAAACCACCACTACTGCCATTGTAAAAATAATTTAATTGTTGAATTATTAATAAAATTTAATTAATAATTTCTAATTATACAATTAAAGAAAAATGTCTAGTGTTTTCTAACCAATCAGGATATTCTTTAGATCTCATCTCATCGTTTCGCTTAAGCAGTTCTAAATAACTTCTAGGGCGTGTAACGAAAGGCTATTTGTTTTCCTCTTGAACGGGTTTCACAGTCAAATGAAGCTATCAAACCATTATTAAATTGCATACTGCTTGAAAGAGATATAGTCAATATTTTGGAATTGACGTGCATAGTATTAACAATGTATATTGTGGTGTTTAATAGCAATATTAATTATTGACAAAAAAAAATTAAAAACTTTACTCGAGCACCTTTTCAGAAAAATAATAATTTATAAAAAATGTACAAAACTGTTTTTAATTAAATACATTTTTTTCCCAATATTATAAATGCTTAAAAAATTTTAATTATTACTTAGTTACATTGAAAACCAACTAATGCAGACCCTAAAAAAATCTCGCTACTCATTTGTATAGTAGTCGCGTTAACTGTCTTAGTAATAAAGGCACGTACAATGGAATTTATGATTAATAATTAAAATCGGTTGCTCATAAAGCATTAGTCGCTTTGGTACACATTTTGCAGTGATCACAAATTGCATATAAATTAATTGAATCATTTAAACCAGTAAATCGTCAGAATAATTTACCTTATTCTCACAAACAAATAAAAGTTTGGACTGCATGGAAATGATGCCTTTTGGCTTAAAACTTTTATTTTACATTGATTTAAAGTTTTTAATTTCTTATAAATTTTTTCTAAAAAATCAAGTTTAGACTATTATAATTATTATTTAGATTAGAAACATCTATTTTATTCATTATTTTGTCATTAAATATCTATAAAAACTATACAAATTGTGTTAAACTATAATAATGATTTTTGGGGGGGGGGGAACAATATTAAATTTCTATCATATGATAGCTTACTTTATGAAATAACGTTATAACTGTAGTACTAAAAAAATAAGGTTACATGGCGTTTAAATCATGCAATATTAACATAAATCAGTCAAATAAAAACATTTATCTAATATATTATTTTATTAAAAATCTACAGCAATAAAGTAAATTTTACTCAAACAAAAATGTTTGTATTCAAATGAATGTATTAAACACTATTTGTGTTTTTAAATCAAAGTGTTATAAAAAAATTATTAGGATATTTTAACTAGATATTCGATTTATATGGAAATTAAGTTATCAGACTCTAAAAACTTATATTAAAACTCGCCAATCAGATTTCAATACTTGATCTCTTTATTAAAAAAAATATTAATAGTTGTATATTATTTATGTGATATTGATGAAAAAAATCTTTATATCCAATAGTGACTAATGGTTGTTACTAACTATCAAGTCATTAATAATTGATTATATAATGAGTTTATTGATTAAGTAATCGGTTTAAAGTACATTTTAAGTATAAAAAAATGTAATTTGTTTTAGGCCGTTCTTAATACTTTATAATTACACTTTAGTCGGTCATATTTTTAAAAGAATTTTTCGTAGAGAATAATTACATATATATGTTTTTTTTTTTTCTATCAATATTGATCTTTCTTTTTTTTCTTACAGAAAGTTCTATTGACTCGCCTTCCCAAAGTGGTAATCTTAACTACTGGGAGCAACCATACTCACAGCCCTACTTCGACAATGGCACCAACCGTGACGTGACTGCGACCGTAGGACAAACGACGTACTTACATTGCAAAGTGCGAAATCTTGGCGACCGATCAGTAAGTTTAGCCTATAGAAATTTAACAGAGTACAGAATCGGGACTTGAGAGAAAAGGTCAGTGTTATATATGTGTGTGAGTGTAATAGCAAGTCTAATATACTGAATGTATTTGAGTTCATGTAATGTATCGTAACTGAAACGATATCCCAACAAGTTAAGTCGACGAACTTTGTCCGCGTCTGACCGACGCAAATTGATTGGAACAGTAACAGTTACCAAAACTGTTGAAAGGAACCAACGCACATTTCCATTAAACGCATTGGCCGCTACTGAAAGGCCCAAGAAATAATAACATTGGCTTTTGAGTTTTATGATATTTTTTTGTCTTAATAAAGTGCGTTTTCCTTTCTATTTGGCAACCACGAAAATCCAATGAAAACAAAAACGGCTATTATCGTGAAAAACAGGTCATATCATTATGAAAGCACTTGTTTCCAACCATCATTATCACAGTCATTGTAAGCTTAACGTACCATTTATAGCAAATAATGCCGCCGACTTGTTAATACTATCTTGAGTTATTTTCACTAATAATCTACATTACAAAACAAAAACTCGTATAAACAACAGGAGTATAAACGACGGCTTAAACACTTGTAGTAATAATTTTTCTTTCTCTTTCTGTGGAATGGTTCAATATTGCAGGAGATAAATAATAAATAGCTAATGTATGTATACGTTTTATAATACACTGAATCCAATAATATTTCTATAATGATCAACTCTAGGTTTAACGTCAATTTATTCGTATTCGATTACACCACAGTTTCACTGAAATACATAAACCTATTTTTTGAAAATATAACTTAGCAAAAATATAAATCCCAGGATCAAAGTTTTATTTAAAGATAAATCCACGAAAACAAATTAACTATAGTTGAAATATATTTTATAGTTTATTTACGAGAAAAATTCCATATGACACCAAATTTTTCTAGACTTTCTTTTGTTCTAAAAAGTTTTCAACAAAAATTACACATATTTTCGTAACTGTGTTTTTTCAAATAAGAAGCTTACAATAACTGTACAAAAATAGTTATAATCTCACGAACAAACATTAATCGGTTTTATTGTTATTGTATTGTCAAAGGATACGCAAAAAGTATTAACGTTTATTATTTTTAAATAAATAAGCTTCTATGGAGATATGTGCATAGAGTATCATGTTGTATAATAAATGTTGGTGTAAGCAAATAAATGAAGATTGACAAAATATCTTGTTTTTGGATGTATTAAGCCTCCTTCAAAATTGAAAACTATAAAGCTTAAATAATAATCTATTGTTTCACACGTCCTTTTATCATACCAAACTCTATGCCTACTTTACATTATGCACTAAGTTTAATACGATTGTTTTAATGGGTAACCATGTTTCAACAATATTGACGCCGGATTAATTTTCATGTAAATAAATGGACATCATGATTAGTATAGAAAATATGCATTAAAAATTAGTTCCACGTAAGGGATTTCACTTGTTATTTTAAAAATTGTCTATGAAAAGTTGATGAGAATCTCAAAATTACCAAAGATACGTGTACGAAGAGAAAAAAGTATGAGTGAAAACAATTAAGTGAGATTTTTTAAAAAATTATAAAATAAAATAATGTGACAATCGACTAGATGATAACATCGCTTAGAGATAAGGTCACTAGAGGTATATAAGAGTGTTTTTTTTTTTGGTCGGGGTATCAGTATGATGTGTTTATTGTTGATTGTGGTAAAATTGTTGCCAAAATATGTTTCCGCGATTTTTTTTTTTTTAGTAATTTATGTATCATTTCAATTAAATATTTTTTAGTTTTAATTTAATATTTTAAATATATTTTTAATTTTAAAGAGATTAAATTTCTTTATTTGATTAGGTTAAAAATAGATTCCATTAAAATGAAATAAAATCAGTACTTGTATAAAACTACGAAGAATCATTCTTCAATGTTAGTTATATACTTATATACATTTTTCCATTATGTTAAGTGAATTTAACATTTTTGTTTTATTAAACTGTTTTTTTGAGTAAAACTACAACTTAAATTACATATTTCTATAATTAACACTTACGGATAACTGAAATTGAGTAATTTTAAATGACCAAAAACAATCGAGTTTAGATATTTGCGAACAATAATATTGTATCGATGTAAAACTAACTTTTAATAACTCGGTTTTAGAGGTACTTTGAAGAAATGAATTTAATTCAATTTTCTGCTGATTTCATTTCAATACTTCAATTAGAAAATACAAATATTGGTAATTTTCATTAACTTTTTCTTTTCTGGAGAACAAAGAGAACACCAAAAAAAAAAAGTTAAAACGCCGTTTAGTTTTTTCGCTAGTTTTATTTTTTTCAGTTACACGTAGAGAAAATTAATTCGATTAATAATATTGTAACTCGTGTTGAATCCCTAAACGGATTTTCAAAGGTTTCCCGTGAAGTACACACGTACCGAATAAATGCGTTTTTTCCTTGTTTGCTTTCCAAGTGAACATTTGCTATTCCATCAGAGTGTTGGTCCGTGTAATCTTTTAACTGCATCGACAGAGACGCTTTCGAATTGCCCTGTGATTTCGTTGGAGTTCTTATATTGCTGTCGCACCTCATGATGACTCTACATTACAAAAAGTGCGTCGTCTTTTATTTTCGTATTATTTTCCCTGCAGGTGTCTTGGATCAGAAAACGTGACCTGCACATATTGACGGTCGGCATCTTAACATATACCAACGACCAACGTTTCCAATCGCTACATTCTGATGGGTCAGACGAATGGTCTTTAAGGATCACGTCACCGCAAATCAAAGACTCGGGAACTTACGAGTGTCAAGTGAGCACCGAGCCGAAAATCAGCCAGTCGTTTCGTCTAAACGTGGTCGGTAAGTACACACTTGCCGTTAGACACATTTTTACTACATAAGCAAAACTGATCTAGTACGTGAGCAAACAATAAACATAAGCATTTTAGCTAAGCACATATGAAAAACAATCTATTCTATATTAAAAAAGAATCCCTCTATTTCCCCGTGTTTTTCTTAAATATAGAGACACTTCAAACGTCATCACAAAATTGAAATGTTTTCAATTATACTATTTTTTTATGTAGTGTACTAAGAGTCGACTAAATTTTGCGGAATGTGTATATTTTTTTGTATATTAAAATCAAATTTTGATATTTTTTTACGTGTCAGCTATCACTGACAAAGCTTATAACTTTTGATCCAATAATAATTCTGTTTAAAAAACAATTCTTCAGAGACTGTATTCAAAGCATATTTTTATTATTTATAAATGGTAAGAAAAGAGTTGTACTTTTTATTTCTTTTCCGAAATTTTATAATAGCTATTTTTTAGCACTTTTCTTATAAATTTCTCCGAATTTCTCAATCATTAATTTTTTTTTATGTTTACCCTTATATCTCATAAAGGCGTCAACTTAAATTTTTCAAATGACAACACCCCTAATTAACTAGCTTATTTAATAAATAGTCTAATTAAGAAAATTACTGATGGTAAAGAGTGGGTGCTTACTCTTCCTCTCGCCTAATTATAAATATGTCAATAGTTATGGTTCATAATAAGTTAATCGCCTTGTATATTACATACTATTATCCCTGATACTTTTAAATGGCTTAGCATATTAATTGAATATATTTAATTTTTTCTAGGTCAAACTCTAAAACTTGTAACTTTTCAGGTTATGAAATAATTTTATCTAAATATAAAATAATAAAAAACTTTTAACGAAAACATTTTTTTTTTTTAATTTTACCAGGAAAAACTAAAATAATTCCGTAGAAACGTATACAATTTTATTATCAGTTTCATATCGAATACAAGTCTCTAAAAAATAATTTTTAAATAATTCATATAACAGCGTATATTATATGCATCATGTTTTTATTATTCTAAAGAAAAGTTTATAGTACACATGTAAATAAATTTCTGTAAACTTTTACGTTTATGGATTTTTAAAATTAATAAGAAAACTATTTTTAAAAAATATTTGGGCCAACTCAGAGTTGGATTAAATAAAAGTTGTCAAAAGATTCTTAGGTAAATTTTTTCTACGTCGTTTTTTATATAACCATTTAATGAAATATGTTTGCAATTTCAAAATGTATAAAGTTCATACATTATATTGTTTATATCATATTTTTAATAAAAGTTAACCAACTATTAATTGCGTATTAAATGTTTATTTTTCAGTATCTAAAGCCAAAATCATTGGCAATACAGAAATGCATATTCGAAGTGGTAGTGATATTAATCTAACTTGTGTGGTGTTGGAAACACCAGACCCTCCTAGTTTTATCTATTGGTACCGTGGCAAAGACGTGATCAATTATTCAGGTCGCGGAGGTATCAGTGTGGTGACGGAGAAACAAACTCGAACTAGTCGATTACTCATATCAAAGGCCCAGCCACCTGACTCTGGAAACTACACGTGTGCCCCGTCAGCGTCTGATTCAGCAAGCGTTACCGTACACGTTCTTAATGGTAAACTCCACTTAAAAAATTAGCCTAGACCAAAATTAGCGTTAAGAATTTATTGATTTAACCATTCTAAAAAACACTACCTCATTCCGAACAGCAAAATATTATAAAAAAATATTTAAAACGCAAAACGTTAAGTCTTTCTACCCTTGGCATTTCCATCCCATTCTACCAGTAACATAGTTATTTCGATATAAAATAAAACTTATTTTTTTAGAACAAATAATTATATTTTTAACATAAATGCACGAAAAATGAAGAATCAAATTCTTATAAATTTAATCACATAAAACTTAATACAATCCGTGATTTTTCCAACTATTTAACTTGTTACACAGATTTTATAATATCTGTTAAACTCAAGTTATTACACAACCCACCCTTTGTAGCATGAAAAGTCCGGAAAACAGAAGGATGTAAAACTAATCATTATTATTAATAATGAGGAATCAACATTATAGTAATCGAAATCTATCAAAAAACTATACTAATCTAGAGATTTTATTAAAAATAAATGTATACATAAATAATGTATCCGACTTTGTTATTATTATTTTGTAAAATTTATTGAGTGCACAATAATTACTTTTAAACAATTTTTCATTGAATAAATTATTTAAACATGAAATGTACTCAATTCAGGTGAACATCCAGCCGCTATGCAACACGGGAATAGCAGCAACAGTGCGGTGACTCGACTACTCCCCATATTTTTATTGTTTGTGTGTCATTCTATTCAAGTTTTATTAGTTACTGATGTATACGTACCGACAAGTGCAGCGAAGCCGTCTAGATGAACGGCATTTCAATCAAAGATTTAAAAGATCTGACAAAGATGAAACTTCATTTTCTGGGTTACGTTAAAGAACTGAGTGGAGCGGAAGGTTAGATTAGTTCAAAATTGTATACATCTAAAATTAAAATAAGCATTAATACAAAAGAAACTCATTTTTTAAATCAATTGTTTATTTATTTTTTAATTACAAGTTGTATGTAAATATCAGCAAATATTTGTGTAAACTTATAATGTAAATAATAAATATTAATAATAATAATAAATGAATATAATACATCTTGAAATTCCTACTCGCTGCTTAAGTTTCACGAATGAAACAATATTTAATACCAATCAATATGAATTGTAAAATATTACATGTAGCCATGATTTTTCAAAATGTTATAATTTCATGTATATAAGGATACAAAAACTTCAAGTATTATGATTGTTGTTATGTTTTTGAACCAATCGTTTATGTTTTATTATTTTATAGTGTAATAGTTATATAAATAAATTATCATTTTTACTGTACATCGCTTCCAACCGTTATGTTGGTAAATGTAATAACAGTGTTTTGTATATAAAATAAATTCTAATAGTAATCGTTTCACGGTACTGTTTAAGTTTTTAACGCATATGTTGCAACCCCAATTATACATGGCATTGATACCTCCCTTGGACATATCTTTGTTTCTATTTTTATCATACTGTGCATGTATATATAAATATATTATAATAATGGAACACGATATAAAGTCTCTAAATCAATTGTAACATCTCTAATTGTTCATTTTAACTATTACTTTCGACTTGGTTATCGATCGACCATAAATAATTGTTATATGTAGTAGAAATTAACAACTATGATCATTTACATAATATTATAGATAGTTTGATATATTAAAGTTATGCGCTTTGTTCTAATTAAATATACTCAATAAATATAAAATAAATAAAAAAACATTTTAATTTAGGTGAAAAATTAATAATAATAACAACAAAATTCCATAAAAAATAATAAACCAGTTGAATTCTTTAAATTCAATTATTGCTCTTTGGAAAGAAAATAGAGTTTCTCTGAGAAAAAAGTTTCACGCCAATCGTGTAATGATTTTATTATACAATTTTTGTTCAAAGAAACCACTACTAATATAAAAAAATATATTTCTTTTTCTATTAATAGTGGCCTTTTTTACGATATGCCATTCGCAATTCTTGCATATTATCGCAAGTAAAATTGTAGTAATACATTTTACATCAACTTTCATAACAACTATTCTCCGTCAAAAGCCTCTTCGCAAATAATAACTAATGGTACTATAAAACAAATGTAAGATTCAATTTAAAAATAATTATTGCGTTCACAAAATTATTAAAAATTTTCAATAATATTTTAAAGAAATAGGTTTTCTGGTTTTAACTTGAAATTTATAAGCTGCGATTTTTGAAAGTATTAATAAAATATTATGATATAATAGCAAATATTATACAATCGAAGATTTGTCATCATTATTTCTTTGACCAAGAAAAAAAAACATAAATATTACATTGACTCAATTAATTTCAAAATTATAATTTTTAAATGTTTGTAGTTTACAGAACCAGAATTAATATTTGGAGGACAGTAAGGAAATAATTCAAATAAATCTAATTAACTAATGTGTTGTCATAGTCGAGTATGCTAGTTGAAGGAGAGAGGTTAGAAATTGAAACATATAAAAATAATCACCTATTTATAATATAATTTAGAGAAGGACCTAAACATTTTTTTGTGCAACTCTCCTGCACACCGTCAATGAAGATTACCCTAAACCAGTTTAGTATTGAATTAATTTTAACGTATAATTTAAAAAGTTGTTCCGACAAGCATGACCAATAAAATAATTGTGTAACGCAAGTTGTCCAAATATTTGGCTGTACAGAGATTAAAATTAAATTTTAAATTTTAGTACCAGCAACTCATGAGAACAATCGATAGGTTAACATGTTATTAAATTATTGTGGCCACACAGACTATTGTAGAGTCTAGAATATAGACTATAATTTGAATTATGTATACTGTAGTCTGTTATGTGATTGGGCTAACGTCTCGAAGTGTAAATGGTTAAGAAATTAATTTATTGTCGCAATGGACGTGAATAAAAACGAAAAAATTTATCTATGATGAACATTTTAAAATGTGTCGCTAGCGAGACGTTGAGAACTTTCTCGAGATACCTGTAAATATTAATCGAGTACATTAGTCCTTATACATTCCTGGTACTATATGTTGATACTGGTCACAAAATAGCAGTACCGGACTCAAATATTAGTTATGCAAACTCTTATGTATCTTATGAACCCCTGTTAGAAAATTATAATTCTACAAATTTTTAATAAAATGGAACGGAACGTAATTTGAAATTAATACTTTCCAGAAATTCACTTTTTTTTATCTATCAAGTTATCACCTTAGTTTTTCTCTTACACTCTTTATCAGTGTATTCTTCGTATGTTTTCTGGCTTTTAGCTTAACTTCTCTAACTTAGTCTAAAAATGTACATGTGTTAAGATTATCAACATTTTACTTAGAAATAAATACGCTTCTATTATTCAGATATAATTATCTTCTTATTAACACACTTCACCTAAACAAATGCTTCGAATAAATCACCAGGCGAGATTCTATCATCGCCATTCCAGTGAATGAATATCAGGTAAAAATAGTTATAACTCACTAGCTACACTAATGAGGAAATAACTAGAAATCAAAGAACTCGTATTTATTATGTCATTACGAATGATGCTATTATCATTCTTTACTGTTAATACCGCCCCGATAAACTTTATTTTTAGTTATTACACTACAACATTTGTTATTGCAGTGAATGAAATAAAAGAAATGTAATATTTTTTTTTATTTTAGTAACCACCAACTTAATATAATTACAATAGAAAGATTTTTTTTTTTACAAAATTTATTTATTTTAAAAAAAGTTATATAAATAATCATAATTTAAATTATAAAAAATAGAAAACATTATAATAATTAAATCTAATTATAATTATAAAAATAATAATATATTTTATAAAAGAAATTTTGATGTAAATTCATTAAAATGTAAACATCAAAAAGTTTTGTAAAAATATCATTATTAAAATTGCAAAACTAATTTTTGTTATTAATTTAATAATGTAAAAGTTATTAAGTTTAAACCTATATATTTTAAATTTGTGTAAACTAAAAAATTTTTTTACTCTAAATAACGAATTTTCTTTACATTAAAAAGAAATGAAACTTGATTTAATAACAATTATATATTAATAATCAATATATTAATAACAAAATTTTACTAAAAATCATCAAATGTCCAAGAAGAATCTAAATAACTGTAGAATAAATTATATTTGTATTTAATGAAATGAAAAAAATAATTCAATTTTAGTTAGATATCAGCTTGTTTATCTGAATGTGTCAATTATTTTAGTCAAATTTTTACAGTAAACAGTTTTTGCATAACCTAAAATATTCCCATATTTTTCTCAGATTATTTATACAGTTAACTACTTTTTGTCAAAAAATTTATAATATTTATTAATACCTGAATACTACGCTACTTATTACATAGTGAATCAAAGTATTCTTCCAGAAAATGGATATTGAGTAAAAATATTTATTGATTTTAGTCGAGGTGAGCATTTCTAAGAAGAATAAAATGGAAAGAAATGGCTTAAGAGTTAAGACTTCAAAAGTAATTTTAATCCAGAAAAGTTTTATTATTTTAACTAAAAAAATGGTTTTTCGAGAAATTAGTTATTAATTAAACAGAATATAATTGTTCATTTTATTTTGCCCTTTCTGAAAAATTTAAATATAATATTATCTCTGGAAATAATTTTAAAATCTTTTATACGCTTCTGCAAAACTATACAATCTATACAGGGTGATTTTTTTATCATAACCCACTCAATTACTTGCAGAATAATAATAATTTAAACATTTTTTTTTTTTATTATTTTTAGTTACACATTATTCTTGAATTTTTAACTATGTAATACTTTTTAAGTTCATCCCTTATGCCTTGGAGGGGGGTCAACTTTGTTTTTTTAAATGGTAACACATATTTTTAATTTAATAAAATGTTTGAGTTTTTAATTTAATAGTAAATGGCATTTGAATTTTTAATATAACTTTATTAGCTTATTAGATATAAACATTTAAAGTTTCAAAATTTTGAGTTAATATACATGTATAATACACATGGGATTGTAAATACAGGTAGCTAATTGGATTTTTATGACATTGCTGTCTCAGTCACGGATTGTTTATTATCAATTATGATTATCAATAGATATACTTTCTGTATTGTCAGTTAGTGTATTTATAAACTCATAACAATGTGCCTTACTACAATTGATAATAACAATGCTGTGTACCTGCTAATATCGATGTTATAAAAATCCAACTAACTACCTGTATTTACAATCCCATATGTATTATACATGTATATTAACTCAAAATTTTGAAACTTTAAATGTTTATATCTAATAAGCGAATAAAGTTATATTAAAAATTCAAATGCCATTTACTATTAAATTAAAAACTCAAACATTTTATTAAATTAAAAATATGTGTTACCATTTAAAAAAACAAAGTTGACCCCCCTCCAAGGCATAAGGGATGAACTTAAAAAGTATTACATAGTTAAAAATTCAAGAATAATGTGTAACTAAAAATAATAAAAAAAAAAAATGTTTAAATTATTATTATTCTGCAAGTAGTTGAGTGGGTAAAAAAATCACCCTGTATATTAAAATTGATATTGTAATCTGTAAATGACAGATATAACTGATGTAGACAAACTTCCACATATATATGTAATTCTGATGGTCATCATTGTAACCATTCTAACTCGAAAGATACGGACGTTAACCACCAAAACTTATCAGACGCAAAAAAATATTCAAATGGTCTTGGCCGCTGGTTCAAGTTCAAGCACTAATCATTATGTAGCACACCTATGTCGATATTAGACATCTATTTTCTTATTAATTCAAGTAAGACGAATGGAAATCTTAATGCTGCTACATAATATATGTATGAACGTCTACAAATTTCTGTTAACATATATCAGGAATAAGTTATTATGAAAACGAGTGATTCAGAAGTTAACCAGCAAATCGAACTGAATATAGATAATGAAAATCGTCCGGCGAAGCTTTCTATTTTTTTAAGAGACATGGCCCAATATTTCACTATGCTTATTCATAGTTTCAAAATTGAAATTGATATCGATATCCGATTATGTCCGAAAATATTTCTTCATTAATCCGAAATAAATGTATTAACTGTTAATGAAAAATAAACACTGTTCCATACCTCCCAAGAAACTCTAAAATAAAGTGTCTTTTTTTGTATTTATCATTTCAACAAAACAAACTTATTTCGAAATGATCATAGTTGAAACTATAAGACAACCAGTGTCAAGATCTATTTTTACTCGTTATGTATATAATACAAAAAGATCAAAAGTAATGCACTTGAGAAGCTTTAGATGACTTAGATCAAAGGAAATTCTAACATTATCCTTCCGAAGAACAATTGGGGGAGTCTAATTACCGATAGTAAAAATAAATTACTGTTATTACGTAACAGACAGATATACAAGTAGAAAGATATTGTTGTACTTTACAATATCTTTAGAAAGATATTGTAATACTTTGACTGTAATGATTGTGTGCCGCAAGCAAACTACCAACATCTTAAAAAATGTTCAAAGGTGTACAATAAAAAGAAATG